TGGCAATGCTCCTGCCTCAGCCTACCGAGTGCTAGGATCACAGGTGCATGCCTGTGTCCAGCTCAGAATAAGCAGGTGTAGAGGATTAGTACGCAAGGGTGTGACGAAATTCGGTACTGTGATGGCCCACGCAACTTTGTGGAATCCCCAGTGAATTGGAATGCCGGATGACAGCATCTGAATTATATACCCATGATTTATCTTTAAGATCAATACAGGCACGCGTGTCTAAAGCACGGCAGAACCTCACAGGTGGGTGCTCGTTGGAAGGCTGGGAAGATGTCTGTCCCCAGTTTTGCCTGGTTTGGGGCCAGCTGACGACCGTGCAGTTTTAGGTGCATGCAGCCCTGTGCTGTGCCCCTCCACAATGTCTGCCGGGTGAAAGGAACTTGGCCCAGAAGGGGGATCCAGCCCACGGGGGTCTCGGGGATGACGGTCACTGTGCTGCAGTGGTGTCCCGAGGAGCAGAAGGAAGGAGCCCGCTCAGCCTGCCAGGTCCCAAGACCTTGGACGCTGCTTGCAGGTAAGCAGCGGTGTCTTAACTCCGACAGTCACCCCAGTAAGCCTGCGCTGGCACACTACATTGGCTTTGCTGCCTTGCTCTGTCCCCTCCCTTTGAACACAGCTGTGTCGAGGCTAGGGGTGCCAGGCGAGGCCCCCCAGCCCCATCCAGGTCTCTGTGTTGAGCTCTTGAGCCAGAGTATGGTAGGCTCCTGTCAAAAGCCATTTCAAATATTCAACGATTGCTTGTCTGTGATTCATGACTGATAGCCTCTCATCTAAGAATAGTAGCTGCACAGGGCCTGGGCGAACAGTGTGGTTTTATTAAGAAACTTGTATAGCCCTACAAAAGCAGATTGGCTAACTGCAGGCTCTTCCCAGGGGAAAGCGGAGATTACCCAACCATGCTGCTGAGAGTGGCCTGGTGGGGCTTTGTCTTGCTAGCTTGGGGCTTGGGAGGCCTAGAATTGGGCCTGCGCCACTCAGGCTTGGTTCTGAGGGCTGGTGGCAGTGGCTTGTTCACCGCCCCCTTGAGAGTGAGTCTACAAGGGAAAGGCAGCTCTTCCATAGCAGGTTTCCTGCTTCCCTGATAGGCTAAGAAGACTCAAGTTTATTTTATAGTGTTTTTGAAAGTTAATTAAGCACCCCCCCATTCCTTCCAGGGAAGTGATGCTGTGTAGGCTTCCTTCTTGGGCGCCAGGCTGAGGTGAGCCCTCCTTGTGGGAGTTGCCGGTCACAGAGCACGCAGGGTCCAGCCCAGCGTGGCTCAGCCTCAAGTCCTGGCCACAGCATCAGCCCTGCTACTGCCGACCCTTTCCATGAGGCCTTGGCCCTTCCCTGAACACCGCCGTCCATCTGCCCATCGTCCCGCAAGCAGCCTCCGTTTGGATGAGCGCTGGATTCTGCACCTTTTGAAGAAGTTGTAAAAGGACAATGCATCCAGAAGGGGGCGACGTTTGACAGCTGGTGTCCTGCTGGACAGGCTAGGCCTAAATCCTCTTCTGTCTGAGCCTCTCCCCCATCTGCTGGGAGGTGGAATGGACCGTACTTTCTAGAATTTGTGTGTGTGTGTGTGTGTAAATATATAATAT